GTTGAATCTCTGTCAGAGGTCATGGGCCTTACAGCAGGACAATGACCCAAAGCTCACATCAAAAAAACACCCATAAATGGTTTCAGACAAAGCGCTGGAGAGTACTGAACTGGCCAGCAATGAGTCCGGATCTCAATCCCATAGAGCACATGTGGAGAGATCTCAAAACAGCAGTGAGGAAAAGGAACCCTTCCAATCTGAGAGACCTGGAGCAGTTGGCGAAAGAAGAGTGGTCCAAAATTCCAGTAGAGAGGTGTAAGAAACTCATTGATGGTTACAGGAAGCCATTGATTTCAGTTATTTTTTTCCAAGGGGTGTGCTACCTAATATTAAATTGAGAGTGCAAATAATTTTGTCCTGTCCATTTTTGGGGTTTTGCGTGGAATATGTCAGATTTGGTTTTTTGTTTCTCCACTTTTTCTGTCATACCAATACAAAAAAAAGAAATAAACATGAGAATACCTAAACATTTGTAATTGCAACAATTTTCTGAATGAAGTGGTGGATTATCTGACAGAAATGCAAGGGTGCCAATATTTTTCGCCATGACTGTATATATGACTATATATATCTTTAGGCAGAGGCCCTAGGCTAGAATAAAATTATGGGTGTTGTAATTTTTTATGTCACATAGTTTTTGTACAGCGGTTTCTCAAACTCACTTTTTTTTTCCCAAAATATAAACAAATGACGTTACACCCAGGGGCGGACTAACAACTCATGGGGCCCCCGGGCAATAGGAGATCATGGGGCCCCTGTGTCCTTGCCCAAACTCACAAAAGCTTATGATAAAGGTACCAGGGGCATCTCATGGGGCCCCCTACTGACCCCGGGCCCTCGGGCAGTGCCCGAGTTTCCAAATGGTCAGTCCGCCCCTGGTTACACCATAGAAATAGATACCTAACATGTCACGCTTTAAAATTGTGCACGGTTATGGAATGGTGACAAACTATGGTACTTAAAAATCTTTATAAGTGACGCGTTTAAAAGCCTTTACAGGTTACCAGTTTACAGTTACATGGTAGGTCCAGGGCTATAATTATTGCTCTCTCTATAATGTTTGCAGCGATATCTCACATGTGTGGTACGAATACCATTAACATGTACATGCACAATCTACAGGGGCACATTAAAATTTTTAAATTTATTTAATTTTTTATTTTTACACAGTTCCCGTATTTTTTTTTTTTTTATCACTTTTATTGCTGTCACAGGCAATTAACAAAATCCCTTGTGATAGCATGGGTATTGACAAGTTCTTCTTACTGAGACATCTGGGGTTAGACCTCAGATCTCTCCTTTGCCTTAAAATCATCTGATCAAACCAAGATCTGCTTGATCAGATGCATTAACATCCTGGAAATGACTTGTTTACCTCAGGCCGGAACTGAAAGTGACAAAATACTTGTTACTTCCAGCTTATTAGACCATAGAGATGATTAGGGACATTCCGATCTTTGGTCATCTCTATGGTCAGCTGGCGAAACATCAGGCTTCAGTCCCAGGCTCCTTGGTGGGGGGGCCCTCCTGGGAGGGTAGTGGGGGGAGGAGAGGGCCTTCTGCAGCATTTAAAAGCAATCTGAGCAGTTAATCAGCCACTCTGATCACTTTTATTTAATTTGGCAGCTGAAAAAAAGAATATTGGGATCAGCTGCAGCCATGGCCCTGGTATGACCACTTCAACCAGAGGACGTATGGGTAGGTCCTTTTGGAGGAAGGGGTTAAACAACCATCCTAAAAACAACATGACAATAAAATATGCATATACACCCATGTAACAGGAAGGATAACTCCCCTAATCACAGTCATTGATGTCACTATGTATATTGCACAGGGAGTTCCACCATCCTTGTCTTCAACATGTTTCGCAGAATCCCGCGTCATCCTGAGGAGGATATTTCTTTGCTGAGAGGGATTTTACTGCTTGCTTCTAGAACAGAGACCAAGTTGTCAAAGACAGTGAAAATGGACTGTGTTCAGCTGCGGGTATGAGACAGCCCTTAAAGCAGTATTTAATGTAAAAGCAAATATTTATTAGCCCCCCCACCCCAAAGTTCCCCACGTTGAAGGTACGTGGCCTGGTATGGTTTAAGAGGGGCGAGGGCACTTGCTCGTCCCTCCCCTTTCCTGGCCTGCATGCTTGGATAAAAGTCTGGTAGGAATTTTGGAGGGAACCATTTTTTTTAAATCTTGGCTTAGGATTCCCCTTAAAATCCATACCCATCCCAAAGTGCCCAGTATGGATTGAAGGGGGGACCCTCAAATTTTAAATGCTAGCAATTCTTTTGTTTACACTCAACTGTCAGTGAGGAACCCTGCTGACAGCTGATGAGTCATCTGTTGTTAAGGATGCAGCGGCCTGCTCCTTAACAACCAGCTATTGACTGAAGGAAAAAAAAACAAACCCTGCAACCGGTGTTTAGGAGTGTTCCAACGTTTTTTGCAAATCTCTTCCAAAAATGTTTTTTTTTTTTGCTCCTCTAAGGTGAAGCCTGAAAAACGCTTCTAGGCTACAATAGTGTAGATGGACACATAGGATAACTTTATTTGCTTTTAGGGGCAGAAAAAAACAGCTCATAAGTAACTGGTCGGAGCTTAAACATAAGCTGGTGTGCATGGAGCCTTAGATGAGACAAACCAACTGCCACTGGCAGGGGTGCTTGCAATGACCAGCTTTTATTTATTCATGTAAAACCTTTATCCCAAAATAAGAAAAACTGCCGTAACTGCTTATAAAGTGTGAGCTGGAGTTTGTCTTTAATTTGTTTTTGTATTCAAATCTGCTAATAAATCTAACACTTCTCTCCCCTCCCCCCCGACTGACAATGCTGAGGCCTACTGTGCCTCCTGTGCTCATTCATCCAGAGTTGTGTCTTACTAAGGCCCAATTTCACATTACCATGTAGTGGGAACAAGCGTTCCCACTATGCGATTTTGGCGTGATTTTCATGTGTTTCTGTATGTCGCATTGAACAGCCCATTCACTTAAATGGCCTGCTCTATGCACAGTTGTTGCCCCAAAAAAAAGTCCCTGCTGCTTTTTTGTGTGTCAAGCTTCATGTGATTTGTAACGGTGTGATTTGCCGCAATTGATAATCGTGGCAGAATGGCATCGTGTTTGGGATGCCTTTGAAGGATAATGGCACCCAAACGCGCGCAGCATGTTGTGCTATGATTTGGAATTATGGGCAGAATTGTGGCAATCTGGGATTCCAAATTACGAAGTGTGAATGGAGGAGAAACAGGAGATATTATTGGCTGGATCAGCTGGTGAAAGGGGGGGGGGGGGGGGAGCCTAAAAAAAGAAAACAAATACAGCCACCACATCTAAGGATCGGTAAGCTGCAATATAGGACATTTTTGGTTTTAACTGCTTCCTGTCCACCCTATAGCAGAAATGCTGCTATATAGCGGCACAGGTGCGCAAAGTCATATATATATATATATATATATATATATATATATATATATATATATATATACACGTGATTTTGCAGTTCCGGGCAGGGGGCATGCGAGCCACTCGTCCGCCGCTCTACCCACGCCGCCATTTCGCGGCGTCGGCTGTCAATCACCGGGTCCCGGCCGGTGATTACTCACCAGGTGACACCAAGTCAGTTCTCCCTAGTGTCAGAATGCCCGCAGCAGTTCCTCTATAAGTCGCTGATCACCACCATTACTAGTACAAAAAAAAAAAAATTTCAGTATGCATAAACCGCCATTTGTAAATGCTATAACTTTCACATAAACCAATTTATTTACACATGTAGCAGAATACATTTTGGCCTAAATTTATCATGAAATTTGATATTTAAAATTTTTTTACTGGACATGTTTAATAGCAAAAAGTCCCAAATTTTGTTTTTTTTTTTTTTTCTCAAAATTGTCAGTGTTTTTTTGTTTATAGCTCAAAAAATAAAAAAAACACACAGTCGATCAAATACCACCAAAAGAAAGCTCTATTTGTAGGAAAAAAAGGCTGTAAATTTCATTTGGATGCAACGTTGCATAACCGCACAATTGTCAGTTAAAGTAACGCAGCGCCGTAATGCAAAAAATGGCCTGGTCGGAAAAGTTGGTAAATCATCTGGAGGGCAAGTGGTTAATATCGCTGTAATCCCAGTGTAGCACACAAAGGGTTATTTACTAAGACTGGAGCGTGCAAAATCTGGTGCAGCTCTGCAGAGGAACCAATCAGCTTCCAGGTTTTATTGTCAATGCTTCATTGAATAAGCTGAAGTTAGAAGCTGATTGGCTACCGTGCACAGCTGCCCTAGATTCTGAGTGCTACAGTTTTAGTAAATCCCCCCTACAAGACTTGTGCAGTGTATGTGTGGTGTGCAGTGTGGTGGAGAGAAAGGCCCTGTACAAAAGCGGGGAAGATTTACTAAGGCCCGGTTCACACCAATGCATTTTTTAACGCTTTTTGCAGAAACAGTCCATTTAACGTGGTTTCCTATGGAACACATTCACATGTATGCTTTTTGAGTCACTGCATTTTCAGAAAGGGTCAGGGACAAAATGTTGCATTTTTGGTTCAATAGACTTCAATGGAGACGCTGCATAAAATGCATGTAGTGTATATTTGATGCATTTTGTGTTTTTAATCTTCCCAGCAACAAGTTGACCAAAAAAAAAGAAAAAGGAAACTGCATCAAAAACATGCGTACAAAAATGCACCGCAAAATGGACAAAACACATACTGCATAGGTGTGAACAGGCCTAAAACTGGTGTGCACAGTATCTGGTGCAGCTGTGCACAGGGCCGATGCTTCCACAAGGCAGCCGCCTAGGGCACACTGCCACCTAGGGGTAGAGAAAAACAAACAGGGAGCACCGGCCTAGTGCATTACTTTAACTACCTCCCACCCGCCATATAGTAATATAACGGACGCAAGGCGGTTCTCTTGTTCTGGGAGGACGTCATATGACGTCCTCCCATTCTCACAGCGCATGTGCGGCTCAGGGAGCGCTCAGCATGGCGATCAGCGGTGCGCTGTGTCCCTCGGACACAGTGGATCACTGATCACGGAAAGAGCCGAAGATGTCGGCTCGGTCATGTGATCAGCTGTGTCCAATCACAGCTGATCACATGTAAACAGGGAAATGCCGATTATCGGCATTTCTCTCCTCTTGAGCTGTCACGCTGACAGTTCGAGAGGAGAGGAGAACCGGTAATCGGCTTTCCGCAGAGGGGACATGTACACTGATCATCAGAGCACTGATGATCAGCGTGCCCTGATGATCTGTGTAGCCCCAGCAGTGCCACCTGTCAGTGCTCATCAGTGCCTCGTGCCAGTGCCCATCAGTGCCACATCAATGCCACATATCAGTGCCTACCAGTGCACATCAATGCCACATATCAGTGCCCATGTGAGCTGCCTTTCAGTGTCACCCATCAGTGCCACCTATCAGTGCCAGTCAGTGCCACCTATCAGTGCACATCAGTGCCGCCTATCAGTGCCAGTCAGTGCCGCCTATCAGTGCCATGTATCAGTGCTGCCTTTTAGTGCCCATCAGTGATGCCTGTCAATGCCCATCAGTGCCACCTACCAGTGCCACCTATCAGTGTCCATCAGTGCAGCCTATCGGTGCACATTAGTGCAGCCTCATTAGCGCACATCAGTGAAGGAGAAAAATCACTTATTTACAAAATTTTATAACAAAAACTAAGAAAAAACTTTTTTTTTCAAAATTTTCAGTGGTTTTTGGTTTAAGAAAAAATAAAAAACCCAGAGGTGATTAAATACCACCAAAATAAAGCTCTGTCACAAAAAAATTATAAAAATTTCATATGAGTACAGTGTTGCATGACTGTGCAATTGTCATTCAAAGTGCAACAGCGCTGAAAGCTGGAAATTGGCCTGGGCAGGAAGGGGGTATAAGTGCCCTGTAGGCTAGTGGTTACAAATGTATTTAATAAATAATAAAAGTATGTATTGTACACACAAAATGACAATCCAGTCAGGCACATCATAAAAGAACAGCTCTGTCCAATCCGCACTACGTTTCTGTCCTCATTGGGAATTCTGGACTTCCAACAGACTAACGCGTTTCGATGACTTGCCTCTTCCTCACAACCACAGCGGATTGGACAGAGCTGTTCCCATATGATGTGCCTTTGATTTGATTGTCATTTTATGAGTACAATACCTACTTTTATTATTTATTAAATACATTTTTAAGGTAATGCACTAGGCCGGTGCGCCCTCTGTTTGTTTTTCTCCACTTAGTACATTTGGACTTCCCCGGACTTTTCAGCGCAGCAAGGCGTGCATATCATTCGTGATGTGGTCCTAATTCATCCCCAAGCACAGGAGTATCTGGGTTTGCCATTTCTTTACTGCTTGGGCGCAGCACAGGACAGCACTCTCTCTGAATGATCCTTCAGCTGAGGAGTGGCAGAAGGGAGGAAGAAAGGACAGAGGAAGATGTCGGCTGTCTGGGGCCAGTATAGCAGCTGAGCTGCCACTCCCTCCAGTGTTCCTCTCAGACTCAGTCCCTTACTGCAAGCCAGCTGGTGGCTGCTGATCACTGTGGAGTTCCAACCCTTCTCTTCCCATTTATCAGCAGAGGCAGAGCTGTGCCTGCGGTGGCAGGTAATTGCTGACTCTAATGTCTTGTGTCTGTGTGACCCAGCCAGCCATCTATCACATGTGCAATGTGTCAGCGAGTGATGACATCATCATGATCCTATAGCCTGCTCTTCTAGCGCCTGCTGATCTGTGTCAGCGTTGGTGTGCTGTGTCTGATCTGTCACTGTGTGGGATCGTCAGTTCAACTGCCTGCTGTCACAGCATTTTATCTCCCCCCATTGCCTGGGGTATTTAGCCTGGAATCTGTCAGAGAGTGGATCCATCATCCTCCACTCACTGAAACTGTCACCCACCACTGCCAGCCACAGGTACAATCTGTCCGTGACACTGATCTTGTCTTTAACTAGTTGCCGACTGCAGGTAGCCGAATGACGGCTTCACTGTGAACGGCCAGTTCTGGGAGGCCGTCATATGATGTCTTCCAAGAATGCGCAATCTCTGTGATCGTTGTGTCTTACGGACACAGCTGATCACCTGATATGGTAAAAGGCCAATCACAGCAGCCTTTTACCATGTGATCAGCTGTGTCCAATGACACGCTGATCACTGGGAAATGCAATTGCCGGTTCTCAGCTGCACTTTCCTCACGCTGTCAGAGTATGAGGAAAGTACTGCCGAGAACCGGCAGTTGTCAGAGCAGGGATCTGCACCAGTGCTCTGATGATTGGTGCCCAGCAGTGCCACCCACCAGTTCTGCCCACAAGTGTCCAGCAGTGCCATCCACCAGTGCAGCCCAGCAGTGCCGCCAGTCAGTGCCCAGCAGTGCCGCCAATCAGTGCCCAGCAGTGCTGCCTATTAGTGCTGCCTATCAGTGTCCATCAGTGCCACCTATCAGCACTGCCTATCAGTGCAGCCTCATCAACGCACATCAGTGAAGGAGAAAAATTACCTGTTTGCAAAATTTTATAATAGAAACAAAGAAACTTTTTTTTATTTCTTTGCCCTTTTTTTGTTTTAGTGCAAAAAATAAAACAGCCAGCGTCGAGTAAATACCACCAAGAGAAAGCTCTATTTGTGCAAAAAAATTATAAAAATTTCATGAGTACAATGTTGCATGACTGTGCAATTGTCATTCAAAGTGCGACAGCGCTGAAAGCTGAAAATTGGCCTGGTAAGGAACGGGTATAAGTGCCCGGTAGGCAAGTGGCTAATATTGGTTCTGGTGGTATCTTATGGTAATTATTTCTTTTATTTGGGGGGGGGGGGCAAGTAGCTGGTCTCGCCTAGTGCACTAAATAGTCTAGCAGTGGCCCTGGAGCACAGTAACCAATCAGCTTCTGGGGTTTATTGTCCAAGCTGAAGTTAGAGGCTGATTGGCTGCATTCGGTGTGCTCCAGTTTTAGTAAATCCCCCCAGTGTGTATGTACAGGGCCTTCCTCTCCACCACACATACACTGTACAAGTCTATGGGGGAGATTTAGTAAAACTGGAGCACACAGGATGCAGCCAATCAGCTTCTAACTTCAGCTTGTTCAGTGAAGCTTGGACAATGAAAGCTGGACGCTGATTGGGCATAGTAGATTCCGTGTTTCAGTGTGTATACAATGTTACAATGCAGTGAGGGCTCTCCTCTCCTGGATACAGAAGAAGATTTCCGTCCAGAACGTGTCTTCCCATATCCTCCTCTCCTCCAATCTGTGCCGTGCTGTGTGTGGAGATAAGCCGGGCCTGTCCTCTTCCTCCGTCCTTCCTCCTCCTCCGTCCTCTTCCTCCTCCCGGCTCTCCCTTCCCTGCCATGTGTAATGAGAGATCTCCCTCCACTCAGCCCAACAGGAGAGGAGGGGGAGGGGAAAGGAAGCGACAGGAGAGAGCTGGGAGCCAGGGTGGGAGGGGGAGGAAGGAGAGGGGGCGTGGCCGAGCGGTGATAAATTACCCCTGGAGCCGGAGGGCGGAGCCTCATCCTGAGAGAGAGAAATAGAGAGAGAGAGAGAGAAAGGGAGCGAAGAACTGGGAGGAAGGAAGAAGAAGGAGAAGAAGAAGGAGTCAGAGCCAAGGACACAAAAGAATTCCTGAGGACTCTGCTCGCGGTGACCATAGAGGCAGCAGCTCCTGTCCGCTCTCCTCCTCCGCTCTGGTTTATGGAGAAGAATAAAATGGTCTCGCAGGTAAGTGTGCGCCTGGCGGAGCCATGTCCATATTAGTGCATTGTGTGAGAGAGCGAGCTCCCCTCCCCCTCACCTCTCCCAGTCTTTGTGTCTTTGTTTCTGGCCATAATTGGTGCCATGTGTGGCGTCTATCCGATCACATCCCCCCCCCCCCCCCCCCCCGCCCGCCCAGTCACCATTGTGTGTCCGATCCTCCATCGATAGGTGTCATTGCTGCCAATGTCCTGACCCCCCTCCCCCCCTCATACATGGAGGTTGGGGCATTCCCAGGATATTGCAGATTGCGCAGGGAATCCTGCAGAGGGGACCGCAGTAGTCTGATCGTGTGTGTATGGGGGAGGGGGCAGATCTGTGAAGGTGAAAGCAGTCAGGAGAGAGAGAGACGTGTGAGTGAGGAGACAGCCATTCCCATCACGAGGATCCCTGCACCTTGTTGCAGCACTGGCTGCTTTTGTGGCAGGGATAACCCTTCTCCTGGGGGGGGGGAGGGGAGGAGGGGGTGTATTTGTATGTTGCACACTGCCACCTCACATGGGTATACATGTCCTTACAGTGCACTCCTCTCACCAACACACCACTGCCAGGATCCGGACAATAAATGTCAGTTCTTCTCAGGATATGGCCAACCGACTACAAAATGCTTGACCATAAAAATCCGAATATTAAAGATCAGTGAATGGAGGTGTCAGATCATGGAGGGTACTTCTATAAGCATGTGTCCCTCCACCAGACAGGACACTGCATCGACCCCTAGGAAAAAAAAGACAGTTCTTTTCAGGATTGGGTCAAGCAATAATAAATGACCGTTGCATGGCCAGCTATAAAATTCCTAATATTAAAGATCAGTAAATGGAGGTGTCAGATCATGGAGGATCCTTCTATAAGCATGTGTCCCTCCACCAGACAGGACACTGCATGGACCCCTAGGAAGAAAAGACAGTTCTTTTCAGGATTGGGTCAAGCAATAAATTACTGTTATATGGTCAACTATAAAAATCTTACTATTAAGGATTTGTGAATGGAGGTGTCAGATCATGGTGGGTGCTTCTATAAGCATGCACCCCTCCACCAGACAAGACACTGCATGGACCCTTAGGAAAAAAAGACAGTTCTTTTTAGGATTGGGTCAACCAATGATAAATGACAGTTACATGGCCGACCATAAAAATCCTAATAATAAAGATCAGCAAATGGAGGTGTCAGATCATGGAGGGTGCTTCTGTTACAATGCAGACAGGACATACATGGAGATCAGCCATTCTAGCAGGACTGCTGCGCTGCCTATTCCTCCCATGATTGCCTCTGATGACCATTGTGTGTCGTGGTTGTGATGGTTCTGCTGAATTTTTTTTTTTTTGTTTAATGAAAATCTGGACTTTGACCCCCTTGTCCTCCATGCTCTTTTGCTGCGTTTGTTGATGAATGTTGTCTGAGTGCATTGACTGGATGCGTCCAGACTGTAAATGGATGCAGCAGCTCTCAGGCTGGACTCATCCTGCCCTCACCTCTTAAAGATCTGTCCATTGGCCATTTCACCATTGATATGGGATCTGGGTGTAAAAGATTAGAGATCCCAGCTGTAGAGGATTGGGATGCAGAGAAAACGGGCTCAGGATCAGAGATGGAGAGAATGGAGCACATCACAGGCTGGAGACTGCAGTGCAATGTCAATGAAATGGCTGAAGTCGGCGTACGTATTGTTATTGGGGGGGTGGGGGGGAAGGATGTGTGTCTAGTATGTGGATGGGGCAATTCCTTATTGCAGGCGAATACATTGAGCACAACA